GTGGGGCTGAAAATGAGCACCGCCCATACGCGTGTAAACGTGACCGTCGTTGTATGTTTAGGCTGTGGTAAAGACTTAAGCAAAGAGAGCAAAAACAGATGTGATCCAGCAGCAGAAAGGTGCAGAGATGTGATAAATGTTTGGAGGAAGCATTTTATGGACCAAGTTGCCGAGAATGATATTAGCCGAGAATGATTATAGCAGTTAATGGACTTAAGACAATAATTACTGAATGGTCAATAAGACTTGGAAGAGACATATAACACAAAGACTTTCCATAGCCAGTGGGTAGCACTATGAAAACATCTCTTCCTTCGAGGAAAGCCTTGATAGCTGCCAACTGCTCCTCCTTTAAGACATAGTTCAGCTTTCTAAGCACCATTTCCTTTACAACCATTTTAAAATAATTTATGATAATGTTATTCATGTCTTGTGTGGGTGTTATTTGGGTCATTGTGACTCATTTCCTGCTAGCGCAGAAATCCTGCGCTTGACACAAAACTAGCTACCGTACTGAACCTGACTCTCCGTTTTTCCGCGAGAGGCAGGCCCCGCCTGACTAGGGCAAGGCCCCCCCAAAAATTTTTCTGGAGTAATGTAAACTTAGTTTTACCTATATAAACTGTGAAGTAGCTGCAGTACTTGACTATGTAAACAATCTTTAAACCACAAAGGAGCTCATTTTAGCAGGCTTAGTCTTAATAATTTTGACTTTCCTCAAAGGTCTGCCATGTTCTGCACATTATTCCTTGACCACACCCCCTAATTACCCCACCCATCTCATAAATGCCCCCCCAAAAATTAAATCCTGGATCCGCCCCTGGCTTTCTGTACTCCTCGAAATTCATCATTCTTTCGCCTAGCTGGCTTTCAGAGGAATCTGAGGACATCCATCTGCTAGTAGAAAGCCTTAGCATTCTTTGGTGAGGAAGACGGAGCTGGAAAAGTCGCTCAAAAGCTCGTCTTTGACACAAATGAAACGCCATTGTAATTCCACGTGGCGGAGGTGAGGAGAAAGGCATCCTCACTTCTTTGATCAGATCAAGATGGCCAGCAGCAGTAGCAACTCCAAGCCCAGATGGTTGCCCTTAGAAGCTAATCCAGAAGTCAGTTTATAATATTTTACTTGTCTCCTAACTGCAGCTACCCCCTCTTTCTCTGTAGGTCATGAACAAGGTAAATATGACCAAAAATTGGCTCAAAAACACCTGCAACATTTGTGATGCATATTGATGCCCTATATCAGCCTCTGATGCATGTACAAGTCTAGGTAAATTCCAGAGCTTTCAATTATGAAAATCTAAACATTAGCTTTGAAAGCAGGCTTTCTTAGCTAAGTCTATTCAATGAAAAATGGCAAGTTTAAAAACCGTTGAAATATAATAATAATTAAAAGTAGTCTCGTGTTATAATGTATTGTATTTCCCAGTATGTCGATGGACTTGGTGTAGGAAACTCTTTTCAATTTTGTGACGTCTTTGGATTAGATCCTGACCTATTGATGATGATACCTCAGCCTTGTGCTGCCCTCGTTATGTTGTTCCCAATCACAGACAGGGTTTTAATTAATTGTGTGGGCATAATAAAGACCTTTTTTATAGTACAAAGCTTTTTGAAAAGAGGAAGAAGAGAAGATTGAGAAAGAAGGACAGGTAAGAATTTAGCAATGAGGTGAAGAAGTGATGTAATTTTAAATTTTAAATTATAAAATTGAAGAATTCTCTCCTTTTAATATTGGTAAATTTAAACATAAAATAATTAACAAAGTGATTTATGATAAACACATACAAAAACAAGTAAATACAAAATAATAATAATAATAATAATAATAATAATAATTGCATTCACCCATTTTAATAATAAATTATTATTGCAATCAAAGACAATTAAAATAAAATAGAAGAGAATAGTACAACCAGCTTATTGGGCAAGCAGTACATGTGTCAGTTGTTATTAATAAAATAATAATAATAATAATCATTAATTTATTATCTTATTTTAACTGAACTATTATGATGATCCTTTCTCCCCTCCTCCACAGCATCCTCCCTTAGCACGTGGTGTATCAGTCTGTCTTAAGAGAGAGGCACCAGCTGGTAAACTAGTTAAACAATCTGGTGGTAACTTACGAGCTATGAGACAAGAGAGAGAGAGAGAGATTATGTTACAATAGTACATACTACAGTACATCGTTAGTAGCTACTCACTTATTTCAATGAACATTTCCTCAACATTCCTAGCAGTGAGGGCACTAGTCTCTCCAAATATGGCATTAACTTCTGATGCATAAGTCTGACCTTGTTCAGCTGGAATCTGAGAGGAGAGGAGGGAGAGAAAGGAGAGGAGATAAAAGGAGAGTGTAGTAGAGAGAGGGAGAGAGAGAAAGGATTTATTACATTTTCTGATACATATTGATGTCTTAGTTTACCTGCCAAAAGCTCCGTATGTGTTGATAATCCTCAATGGTTCAAAGCTAGTATTCATCTGTTGTCTACTGGAGAGAAGATTCTGTACAACAGGAATACTGAGATAAGCCAGATACAACCTTCCTAATGTAATAACCTTTTGGAGGACAATATTGATAATAGTAATGTACACAGCACATTGTATGTCATTTCAATGATATGCATAGTTAAATAATGGGTGGAGCCTAGATCAAAGGCTTCAACAGTGCCATTATTCAGATATTGGCACTGTGGTTAGTGCCAATATCTGGATATTGGCACAGTTCAAAGTTCAGGATATTGGCACAGTTCAAAGTTCAAACCACTATTAACAATAAATAAAAATGTAAAAAAAAGGAATATAATAGATCCATATGGATTTACTTAAGGCTGATAATTGACATTGATTGTACAATTGTTGCATGCAGAAAACAGGAGGCGAATCTTCTTGACTCTTGAATGCGGCCGGACTTTGTATCTTCGTCTTTAACAAAAGTAGTATCATCTGGCTTCAACAACACATTCCTCATCTTCGTTCTTAGAAAAATACCAAAGGAGAGGAGTCTGACGAGAGATTCTGAGAGAACACTAATGCTAGAGTCATGTTCTTAGCTAAAGTCCTCTC